ACACAAACCGAACACTTCAGAAACCGTAAGAGCTGAATAACCACTTCAGAAACCTCCTCTGTTTCACCGAAGACCAGAACCAGAGAAGAAGCAACACTTGACCACCTAAACCAGCTAGATAATCCAACGGAAAAAATGGTGTAAGCGTCGAAATCGGAATGGAGAAACCGTGAAAGACCTCTATTCCACCGATAACCAGAACCGGAGAAAATGAAAATCCTTGACCACCACCCCCAGCGAGAAAACCCGACGAAAGATATGGAGAAAATGAAGGAATTGAAGATGAGCTACAGTGATAGATGAAAAGGGAGGCAGAAACTCTCAAAGCTTGAAATGATTTGCACAAATAATTAGGTCTAAAGAGATAAACGGTGGGATTGTGCTACGGGACTTGTGTTTTTCCAGCCACAAACTCTATCTTCTAAAGATTGGGATACTCTAACAGAAGAAGAGGATCTTGAGCCCAAATAAGGGAAACGAGATAAACATTCCCGAACTATTCCTGGTCTATAACGTAGTACTGACTTTTACTTTACAGAAAAATGGGGATTTTTTTTTTCACTAATCATATTATAATCTTGGTATTAAAAAGATTAAATAAACAAAACCCTTAAATTTGACAAAGATGTGCGTTATGCTTACGTCATATCTGAAAAAGAGAAAGGTACAAAATGGGCAAAATTAGTCAACAAAGAACCGCTTCCGACTTTGGTAGCCTTTAAAAAAGCATCCGCGTTTGCGTTTCTTCTATAAATATCTTCAAAAACACATAACTCACAAATCCAATCCAAACCTTCAAAAACAGAACACAAAGACATGGATCGAACAAAATCTCCAAAGCTGGCTCTGTTCGCTGTCTTGGCCACACTCCTTGTCTTAACCGTGAACGGCCAGTCAGTTTGTAACACACACAGGTTCACCAACAATCTCGCCTTCGCCGATTGCTCCGACCTCTCGGCCTTAGGCTCTTTCCTCCACTGGACCTACAACGAATCAAACGGCACCGTTTCAATCGCCTATCGCCACCCTAGAACCTCTTCTTCTTCTTGGGTTGCTTGGGGACTTAACCCAAGTAGTACTCAGATGGTTGGGACACAAGCTCTCGTAGCCTTCACCAACTCAAGTGGTCAATTCCAGGCCTATACCTCTTCCGTGAGTTCCTACGGCACGCAGCTCCAACGTAGTAGCCTAAGTTTCGGTGTGAGTGGCGTCTCCGCAACTCTGGTCAATGGCGAGGCTACGATCTTCGCAACTCTTGAGTTGTCCCCGAATTTGATCACGGCCAACCAGCTTTGGCAGGTGGGACCTGTTGTTAATGGTGTTCCTGCGAGTCATCAAACCTCAGGAGACAATATGAGATCGAGTGGTAGGATTGATTTCAGGACAGGTCAGGCATCAGCTGGTGGTGGAGGTTCCGGTGACAGGCTGAAGAAGAGAAACGTAAGTCCAATTCTTTCTCTAAAATATTATACTACTACTTTGAAAATTTTATATAATTACCACAAATTTAAGCCTTATGATCAAAGTTTCTAAAAGTAAAGTAAGAGTTAGGAAATCATTTGGAACCCACTTTTTTATTTGGGAAAATTCCCAAAAAAAACCTCATATATTTTTTATTTGGACGTTTAATACCCAATTGTTTTCGGTTGGAAGAAAAATACACATATTAATAAAACTGTGCGATTTAATACCCAAACAATCAAATGTTGTTATTTTCATACTTACGAACTCACAACAAAAAATATATTCCAATTTTACCCTTATCATCTCAATTAATTATTAACTTTTAAATAAGGTGATATTTTTTTTCTTTAAATAAAAATTAATTTTGTTAATGCTTTATTTTATGATGCCTAAAAAATAAATTTTAAATTTATATAATTATTTTATTTTAAAATTAAACATTAACAGAAAATCAAAAATATTAAAAATAGTCATTTGTACAATCTTATTCCGTCTTTGCAATGTCAAAGAGACGTTTTCTCTTCGGTTCTAATTTTTTCGATTAATATCTACGAGAATTACCGGTAAACAATCTCCGTCGTCCTCTTTTGCAACCATCAAATTCGATAACCATTCGCAATCTCCTTTTAATCCTATCCAAAATCTTCATCGCCAATAAAACTAATTTGATTTGATTCGTCGTGATGCATATGATATCAACGAGCATCAATATGAACTTTTTTTTCGTCGTTAGAAACTCTCTATTCGAATATAAATCCTTCACGAATGAAACTATTTTCGACAAAATCTCAATCCGAATCTCATCGTCTCTCTCAAGATTTATCAATTCATAAAAATGGCTAATTTTTTTTTTTTTACTTTTTCTAAATTTTTTGCTAATTAATTTTATTTTTAATTTTTAAAATTAAATATTTGTAAAATAAACTGCAAATTATTTTGAAAATTTTTTTGAATTTTTTTTTGGGATAACAAAGAAATGAAATATTTATAAAATTAATTTTTATTTAAATAAAAAACTATTGTGACGTAATCTAAAAGTTAATAATTAATTGAAATAGTAAGGGTAAAATTGGAATTTTATTTTTGTTGTGAGATCGTCAGTATGAAAATAACAACATTTAATTGTTTGGATATTAAATCGCACAATTTTATTAATATGTGTATTTTTCTTCCAACCGAAAACAATTGGGTATTAAACGTCCAAATAAAAAATAATTGAGGTTTTTTTTGGGAATTTTCCCTTTTTTATTTTTAGTATTCTTTATTAAACCTATAATTTGGGTTCTTTTTTGATATTTAAATTTTTTGATGATAAATTTTTAAATAAAACAATATAGTATTTTGAGAATTTTCTAACAATTGGTTTAGAGATATCTAATACCAGCAAATAAAAGTATACTTACGAATGATAATTTTGAAATATTGTGGATGAGAAATTTTAGTCTTAAATAAATACGTTATTGTCAAATGATAACTGCTTCAATAAGACAAACACATATTGACGTTTTTTGTCAACATACTGAAAATGAAATGATGGCGTATATTAAAGCCAAGCATTCAATTATTTTATTAATTTATAATTTAATAGAAAGCCCCTAGCATGTAGATCTTTTCATATGTAGTAATAGTAAAGTGATAAATTTTTAGTTTCTTGTAAGTTAGTCAAAGATTAATGACGCATTTGTTAGGTTTTCTTTGAAAAAGAGAGTGGACTTCTCTCTGTCACGGTTTCATTTTAACCAAGCTCAAAAATTCTGTCTCCATTTCCATAATCAAAATTAAGACTTGAAAAGTCTTATTTGTAGAACTTTTTAAAATTCAATTACGCGTCCTTATTTTTCTCTCCAAATATTTTAAACTATTAGACATTCTGTGCTAATAAAATATTTGACTATCTTAGAGAAATAAAAATGATTATCTAGATTTGTCTTACCTTCCAATATCAAAATTGAACTATGGAACAGTCTTATTTCTTAAATTTTATTTACTTTATTTGTTGAAATATAAAATTTTATTACTCTGAAAAATAAACTAAACATTGGAAACTTTATAAAAACAGACGCATGGAGTACTAAATGCGGTCAGCTGGGGAGTACTAATGCCAATGGGTGCAATGATGGCTCGGTACATGAAAGTCTTCGCCGATCCAACGTGGTTCTATCTCCATATCGCCTTCCAAGTCTCAGGTTACGTTATCGGCGTAGCTGGTTGGGCTACCGGAATCAAGCTTGGTAACGACTCACCGGGAACATCTTACTCAACCCATCGTAACCTTGGAATAGCACTCTTCACATTTGCCACACTTCAAGTATTTGCTCTGCTTCTAAGGCCAAAGCCAGACCACAAGTATCGAACGTACTGGAACGTGTACCATCACACCGTTGGATACACAACCATCATCCTCTCCATTATCAACATCTTTAAAGGATTCGACATTTTGGACCCGGCAGATAAATGGCGATGGGCTTACATTGGAATCCTCATATTTCTTGGTGCTTGTATCCTTATACTTGAGCCACTCACTTGGTTCATCGTTCTTCGCCGTAAGAGCCGTGGAGGTAACACAGTTGCTGCACCAACTTCAAACAAGTACTCTAACGGCGTCAATGGTACCACCACCACTGGACCGCATCACCAGGACGCCTAGTTTCACTTATTGTTTCTACACTTCTTCTTGTTTCATTTGTTCTACTTCTACGAGATTTTGGATTCTTTTTTGATTTGATATGTAGGCTCATGTCTGTATGTATACAATTTTATTCATTGTGTTATCGATAGATCGATTTATGGAGTCATTAATCTTTTATATGTGTGTTTCGTTTTTCTTCCATGCTTCATGTATATATAGTACTTGAATAACGAACGATGTGAGATTTTAGTATTAAAAATGGTATAGTTAAGGTATAGGATTAGTTTGATAAATGTTAAGAAGTAGGTCATTAATTGACCACATGATGAATATTTTTCTTATAAGAGTATTCTCTCTTCGTTTTAAATGAAATGTCTTTTATTTTGTAAGAAATGTCGCAAAAGTTTAAAGATATATAATTTTAATCTTATCCAAATGCAGTATATTAAGTGGAGTAAATAAAAGACATTTCATGTAATAAATCTTAAGTTTCATTCCCCAAATAATTATAGAAACCAACCAAAGCACACAACAAGCATATACAACAAACAATGCTTAGACAACAAGTACTCTATACAGAGTACACGCAACGAAAACTAACAAACATTGAAACATACATAATAGGATACTATAACATTTATGCTAAACTCTCATGGTTTAAATACCGAATTGAGTGTTAATAGATTTATCGAAAAACACCGGTGTTGGTAGAACGTATCAATTTGTTTCCTTCTTGATTGTCTTCCAATAGAAAGATCTACATATCTATTTTTCCTAGATGGTTTTGTGCAAATCATAAGAAATCATCGACCCAAAATGGCGTTATAATTGGTACTGAGGTAAATAAACAAAATATATATGTACACACTTGTCTATAGGATAAAATAATTTTTCTTTGGTATGCTTTCTTACTATATAATATTATAAACTTTTGATTCGTTATTGATGAATCTAAAAACATAAAAATCGTGATATATCAAAGTAATAGTAGAATATATATACAGCATCCAATTCAATAAGAAGGATAAAATTCATATGAATATAACGATAGCTTACGAAGAACATATTCCATTGATTTTACAAAGAGAGGGCAACAAAAGGTGAAAGGGGACACATATTGAGAGTGTGACTACCATCCATTAAGGTAAGAAAAAGACAAATATTCGTAAAAACTTAGTAAACTATTCCGTCACCGGTCGAACCGAATCTGAATTGCCCATTTAAGATCTTAGTTTATCAATCTAAAACTCCTTTAACCACAAAAAAAAAATCGTTTTAATCAATTTCTTTTATATTTCACTCTTATAGACATATAAAGAGTAGCCGCTGTGTCTTCTCCTCTCCGGTGAAGGCGCGTCGTCGCCGGATCTGTGAGGGGAGGGTGTATAAAATTTCCCTTTTGGTCATACGAGTGTTGCGAGCCCATCGGTGTCTTTCGTTGTGGTGGTTTTCTTCTCGCGTGATGGGATTCGGTGGTGCCTCCGTTTTCGGCGGTTTTGATCTCGTTGATGGCTAGCCATTGAAGTCTCAGGTTTCTAGTTTGACGCTAGTGGACGCAGTAGTTGTCGGTCGTCGTATTCGGAAGTGTGCTCGAGGTTCCCTTAACTCTTTTGTCTTGCTTGCCGGGTTATGAAGCTTTGGTTCTTGGTTTGGAGAGATCAGCTCTCATTTTGATAGGAGGAGGTAGATGTTATCTTCGGGTTGGCCGCGGGCATCCTTGGTAAATCTCAATCGCTTGAGCTTCTGAAGATTTGGGTTACTTGTCTTCTTGGGTCTTTTGGTTTTTTAAGGTTTAAGTCTCGTGCTTCTTTCTTAGTTTTTGGTTTCGACCTCTTGCGTTTGTGGTTTGAACTCATTTGCTTTGTTCTATTACTATGTTAGTTTCCCTTTTTTAGGGCCTAGCTTCCGGGGAAATCTCTTTTTCCGCCGGCTTTGTCTCCGGGGACTTTCATGTCGTCCGCCGGCTTTAGTTTTCCCTTTTTGGGCTTTGTATTTCACATTGGTACCATTTCAAGATCAATAATATAATTCTAGATGACAAAAAAAAAAAAAAAAAAAAAGACATATAAAGAGATTTGGATGGATAGTACATATGACCAATCCCAAATCCCAATGTAATTTTGTTTTTTTTTTAACCTGGCACCAGTTATGGTTCGCATGCCATATTTGATATTTTTGTTGTCGCCATATTTTTTTTATTTTCGGATAGTATAATGTTGAAACTACGTAAACGATGTTGTTTTACTCCGATCAGCAGACTAAGTGGCACTTTTTCAATACGTTTAGATGCACGTACCAGTGTGAACCTATTTTGGATTTAAAGATTGAGAGACTTGGATTCGCAATTATTTACTGCCATTTGAATTATGATCAACCAATACCATCGTGTACGTTCATACCAAAAAAGAGGAAAAAAAAAAAAAAAAATATTTACTCAGATGTTAACCAAAAGTTCGAATATTACTAGAATATCATACATTTTCTAAAAATTACTCATATGTTTTGAGCATTTGTGTAATTACAATTAACACCCTTCATTAGTTTTTTTTTAATTAATAATTTTTAATTTGTTTTTAATTAAAAATAATAAATAAAAATTTGATTATCCATGTCATTAATCCACATCACCAATCTCACACTCCTCAAACTCACGTTATTTCTCCTCTTCTCTTTTTTGTCTCCAAATCCAAGAAAAGCTTTTAGATCATTTTTCCTCTTCTCTTTTTTTTTTTGTCTCCAAATCCAAGAAAAGCTTTTAGATCTAATAATCTGCAACTAACTTGGGTACAACATTGACAGAGATCTTCAAATTGCAGGATTGGGCTGGATCTTCCTAGACCTCACAGCCACAACGCTTGCCATAGGGTCCCAAATCAAAAGCTTCGTCAGATCTACTCGCAACCACGCTCACGAAAAAAGTCATCAAAAATCAAAACCCAAAACAAAGAGATCTATGAAATTCTACATGATTCGTTACAGGTTTGAGTTGAAATCAAGAATAGCTACTCTTTTACTTTGATTTTACATGTCTCTCGTTTAATCTTCCTCTCAATCGATCTATTTGGAGACATTTCTACTTCTATCTATGTTTTGATTCATACGGTTTAGTCTTCCTCCTATGTATCCCTCAAACATATTTTTACGAATCTTAATTTGATTGTTGTTATTTGACCAATAAATTTCATATTGTCTTCTCCAAAAAAATGTTGCTTTCCGATCTGTATTATAAATCAGCCGTAAAGTGATGTAACTCAGCCGTAACGTGATGTAACTCAGCCGTAACATATAATTTACACAACCTTACGTCTTCCCTGAATGATAACTCAGCCGTGACATGTAATTTACCGAACCTTTCGTCTTCCCTGAAGCATATAACTCACCCGTAACATATAATTTACACCCATCTATCGTCTTCCCTGGAGAATATAACTCAGCCGTGACATGTAAATTTACCGAACCTTTCTTCTTCCCTTAAACATATAACTCAGCTGTAATGTAATTTTACCGAACCTTTCGTCTTCCCTGGAACATATAACTCAGCTGTGACATGTAAATTGACCGAACTTTTCGTCTTTCCTTAAGCATATAACTCAGCCGTAATGTAATTTTACCAAACCTTTCGTCTTCCCTGGAACATATAACTCAGCCGTGACATGTAAATTGACCGAACCTTTCGTCTTCCCTTAAGCATATAACTCAGCCGTGACATGTAAATTTGCAGCGAAACAATAAGAGACGCAATATTTCCTCTAACTTTATCATCGAGCACCAACTTCACAAGTTTTTCGTGCGTTGTTTTCGCATCTATCTGCACAACTCTACACCCTCTTTCATCGGTGTTAAATACGTATTTGTGTTTTTATACCCAATTACCGGAACCGGATCAACCATATCGGGAGAAGGATGAAATAAATTGAAGAAGAATGAGGAAGACGATGAGGAATTGGAAGTTCCGGTGAAGTGAAAAACTCAGGTGAAGAAGACGAGTTGAAAAAATTTGGCCCTATTTTTTTGTCTTTTGATGATGATGACATGGAATGATGACATGGAATGTTGCATCCACGTCATTTTTTAATTAATGAAGTGGCAAGTAATCCACCAAACGAAAATGTAAATCAGCTTAATTAAACCAGCCATCAAACAAAACTTTAACTCAGCCGCAATATGAATACTATTACAGTAATTAAAAAACGAAAAAACGGCAGCCAAATTCAGCCGTTTACTGTCGTAACTCAACCAAAAATATTTAACTCAGTCGTGTCGTTTAATAAGTCGGCCGTCATTGCATGCTATTCTAGTAATTAATCTTTCGCTACTAAGTCAGCCATAATAAGGCCGAGTTTTCCGTTAATCCAGCTCATTACGGCTGATTTATGATACTCAAACATAAATCAGCCGTAACGTCATCCCATAACTAAGCCGTCTTTGATAACTCAGCCAGCCGGAAAAAGTTAAGTCAGCCGTGTCGAAGCAATAACTCAGCCAAAAATTTGACAAATCAACCATCGGGTGAAAACTCAGCCGTAACTTAGGCTGGGTTATGCTCGAAAGTCAGCCATTTTATCATAACTTAGACAGATTTAGTAAGTCAGCCGTAACTCCAAGCTGGATTATACTCGTAAGTCAGCCGTTTGCTCATAACTCAGCCATTTTTCTTAAATCAGCCGCAACATACCGTAACTCAGCCGTCACTGCCGCTATATCGCTCGACGGCTGAGTTCATTAATACACGTCAGCGATTTCTGACGTGGCGACGCGGCTTTGCTGACGTGGCAGTGGCATTCTTTGTAATTACGTTGTTTCCTGTAACATTTAACAGGGGCACGCTGCGTATAAAAAATATACCCGAAATATGATAGTAATAAAAAAAAGATCTGTATGTTTCTGATAATTTCATATAAAATGTATAACATCTGAGTAAATCTCCCAAAAAAAAACCATTGTGCACATATTAAATGACAAAGCATACTCAACTTGTTTTAATACCGAGAATTAGATTGAGTTTCGGCCCAAGATCCCCAAGTTATATTGTGAATTTAATCAATTTTATTTTCTACCAATGGTTTTAAGATTTCTGTAATTTTCAATCTAAAAACTAGAAAGAGAAAATATGTATTTGAGGATTATTTTATTTTTAAAATGGGGTAGGAAGTAAGAACTAAGGAGAAAGAAAGTAAGAAATAGGTATTTCATGATTGATTAGGAAAGCAAAAAAAAAAACAGGCAAGAAAAAGTGGAAACAAATGACTAAAAAGCTTAACTTATATATGCTACAAATACCAAAAAAAAAAAAAAAAAAACCCTTCTTCTATATGCATCTATACAAGAACAAAACTTGTTCTACATCTCATAGATTTAACACTGTACAAAGGTAAGACTGAGAAGAAAATTAATTGTATTGTAGAGATAAGAAAAGAAAAAACACAAAACTATACTATAAATATGTTTATTACATTAAAATGGCGTATCTCATGCTATCACTAACCATAAGATGGTTAATCTCCGAGACACTGCCATAATCTCCGGACATCCATAGTCCATCCGTCCCGCTAACACGCGGCACCGCAAAGCAAGAGATGATCGAGAACGGGAACCGCATGATCACGGAGTTAAACCCGTCTCGTCTTCCATTAGCTACCACTCCCGGTCCGGCTCCTGCATTTGATGATGGTAACTCGGTCTCGTCAGCTACGCGAGGGCTCTTACGAAGGTTTTGAAGGTTACGGCGGAGTACGGAAAGCATCTGCGTCATCTCTATGTCTCTGATCTTGATTTTAAGGATTTTAGTTTATTGTCTTTTGGTTTTTTCTTGAGTTGATGATATAGGCACTTTGAAGAGAGGAACATTATGGGCTTTCTTTTTATTTGTGTGAAAGATTGATTTGCAAGTGGGCAACTTGGAATTTGCTTTTCATTATTAGTGCTACTCTCTTTATCAATCTATCTATATTTTATTTTCTTTACCTAAAATTTTATAATATTTTTCTTTAATGTGGTAGGGATAAATTCCATTGTTCGCCTTCAATTATTTACTCTCACGATTAGGTGAACATCCAATTATATTAAAAAGTTTGATTAAGCACTTAAACCATCCTGTTATAAACCACATGTTGGATGGACTCCATAACCGTGGGCCTTATGCATATTCTAGAAGGCCCGTGTCCATGTCCTAGAAGGCCCATGCCCATGTTCTAGAAGATTCTTCTTTTAGGATCCATTTTATACTTAGTGGGCTTTTGGGCTTTAGGGTTTACTAACCCAATGAGGATTTGTCTCCTCTCATTATGTATATATATGTAACGAACTTCATTCATTAATACATTGAAAACAATAAGTTTACAACACGTTATCAGCACGACTTGCTCTTAACGAAAACCCTAAAAACCCTAACCCTAAAAATCGCGGTACTGTTCACGCCGACACTGTTCATCTCGGTACTGTTCATAGCCGATACTGTTCATCGCCGATACTGTTCACGCCGACACTGTTCACGCCGACACTGTTCATCGCCGACACTGTTCATCTCCGATACTGTTCATCGCCGATACTGTTCATCGCCGATACTGTTCATCGCGGCACAGTTCATCGCCGACACTGTTTATCGCCGACACTATTCATCGCGACACTGTTCATCGCGGTACTGTTCATCGCGACACTGTTCATCGCGGTACTGTTCATCGTGGTACTGTTTGCGGTTCATTGCAGCAGCGTGAGTTACCGAAGTCTTTAGCTCCCGGTTCTAGTCCATACAACCCCATAAGGTGAAAGGTAACATCAAAACCCTAAAGCTAAAGAACCAACAATTGAACTTGAAAGTTAAGCAAAGAGAAACCCTAAAAACGAATGATGATTGATTAAGTGATTGTTTTGCTTGTATGATTCGATTGCTTGCTTGATCCGATTGCTTGTTTGCTGGATTGTTTGACTCGTTTAGGTTGCTAGAAAAAGTTGATTATCGTTTAAGCTAAAACTCGCCTAAGTTGCTAGAGAAGTTTTAATTATCTAAACCTATAATCGCAAATCCGAAAATTCCATAAGTTTAAATCGGCTTGATTGAGATTGTTTAGGTTGTTAGATTGTTTGCTCTTTTTTTTATTGATTACATGCTTAAAACCCTAATCAAATTAGGAAATATTTAGAAATAGGAAAATTAATCCTAAAGTAAAGAGGAAAGTAAATCCTAAAAGGAAAAGGAAAAGTTAATCCTAATTAAAAGAGGAAATCTAATCCTAAGCAAAAGAGGAAAGTCAAATCCCTAAGTAAATCGATTCATGGTTCGGTCTCAAATACCGCATGACACTAACGATTACATGATTTTGACTCAAAACTTTTCCTTGTAGATGTTGAATTACAACTTGTACTTTACTGCCCTAAATCTCTTAGGAGATAATTATTTTAAAATGGGCAATGGATACTAAGATTATCCTAAAGTCAAAAGGACTTGGTGAATGTATCTAATAAGGCAAGAATGCCAAGAGAGAAAGATAGATACAAGGCAATATTAGCCACCATCTTATTGAGAGTCTCATAATCCAGAACTATAAGTCTGTGGATGAGTCTATTGCTAGATGAGCAAAATAATGACTTACTCATAAAAACAGTGAGTTACGACCTCATAGATTAACCCCATTACCTAATGCCAATAAGGCCGCAGAGGATAAGAAAGAATCCAAAGAATCTAACCACGTCTAAAGTGATAGACCACACGGCCGTGACCGTGGTGGATGGAAAGGACGTGGTTGTGGCCACTATAACTCATCCGGCCGTGGGAACCACTATAACCGTGGATGTAGACCCAATTCCAGCCGTGGTCGAGGGCGAGGACGATGTGGTATTTTCAAACCACAACACTCGACCAAATGAGTATGCCATAGATGTGGTATTGAAAGGACGTGGTTGTGGCCACTATAACTCATCCGGCCGTGGGAACCACTATAACCGTGGATGTAGACCCAATTCCGGCCGTGGTCGAGGGCGAGGACGATGTGGTATTTCCAAACCACAACACTCGACCAAATGAGTATGCCATAGATATGGAATGGGAAACCATTGGGCTAAGATATGTAGGACTTCCAAACATCGTTGTGACCTCTATCAAGAGAGTGTAAAAGGGAAGAATCCTAAAGCCCATTTGGTATATAAAGATGGTGAACATGATCAAGATGATCTAATAGAGTATGAAACTTCTGATTGCATAAAAGAATCAAGTTGATAAATCTTACTTCGACATCAAAACCTCTATGTTTTTCTTTGCATTTTATGTGTTCATTGATTGTTATTTGCTTGAATTTATTTTATATTATTTTATGTTTAGAACATGATTCTTGTCCATATAAGAAATGGCCGAGGACAAGAACATAATTGTGGTGGATAGTGGAGCCACACAAAAGATAAGAGATATTTTCCTAAATCTCATAATGAAAAATGCCAATATTAGCACTTAGCGGGTATAGCAAATCTTATTGAGGGCTACGGCCAAGCCCATATTCTATTACCAAATGGCACGCATCTTGAACTAAGCGATGCCCTATATTCACCCAGCTCGAAGAGGAGCTTATTAAGTTTCAAAGATATAAGATTGAATGGTTTCCATATTGAAACAAAGGGTGAAGGGAACAAAGAGATCACCCAAGGACATAAGAAAGTCCTAGAGACTATACCCGCATTATCCACTAGTCTCTACTATGCTAAAATCGATATGATCGAAGCTAATATGGCAATGAACAAAGAGTTCATCGAGAAATTCACTTTATGGCATGACCGGCTTGGCCATCCGGGTCATAGTATGATGCGTAAGCTTATGATAAATTCAAGGGGGCACACCCTAAGAGAGAAAAGAGTTATCCCTAAGAATCTCACGTGTGAAGCATGTTCACAAGGGAAACTCATTATAAGGCCATCACCGGCTAAGGTAAATAAAGAGACCTTAAATTTTCTGGAAAGGATACAAGGGGATATATGTGGATCAATACACCCACCATGTGGGACGTTTAGATACTTTATGGTCCTCATTGACGCATCGACAAGATGGTCGCATGTTTGTCTCTATCTACTAGAAACCAAGTGTTTGCTAGGTTATTGGCCCAGATAATAAGACTGCGAGCCCACTTTCCAGATTTTCCGCTTAAGACTATACGTCTAGACAATGCCGGTGAATTCACGTCCCAAGCGTTTAATGACTACTGTATGTCCATGGGGGTAAGTGTGGAACATCCCGTAGCACATGTACATACACAGAATGGATTAGCGGAATCCTTCATTAAACGAATTCAAATGATAGCTCGACCATTACTCATGAGGTCAAAGCTCCCAGTAGCCGCTTGGGGACACGCTGTTTTACATGCATCAGAACTTATATGCATAAGGCCATCTAGTGAACATAGATATTCACCATCCCAATTACTCATGGGTCATGAGCCAGACATATCCCATCTAAAGACTTTCGGGTGTGCCGTATATGTACCGATTGCTCCACCACATAGAACAAAGATGGGACCTCAAAGGAGGATGGGAATATATGTTGGATTTGATTCTCCCACCATTATTAAGTATCTAGAGCCAACTACGGGTGATCTATATAAGGCTAGATACGCGGATTGTCATTTTAATGAATCCGAGTTTCCTACTTTAGGTGGAGAGATGAACAAGCTGGGTAAAGCAATAAAAGAAATATAATGGAATCAAACATCCTTAAATTGGCAAGATCCTCGGACTCTGGCATGAGAATCAGAGGTCCATAAGATTATACATTTGAAAAGCTAGCTAATCAATTGCCAGATTCCTTTGCTGACCCAAAGAAAGTTACAAAAACGTACATACCAGCTTGTAATGCACCAGTACGTATTGATATCCAAAAGGGAATCAATGAAATTGCTACCGAGTCTAACACACGAAAGAAACGTGGTAGACCAATATGTTCCAAAGATAAAAATCCTCGAAAATCAAAGAAAGGTGCAGTAGGAAACGAGGTTAAGGAAACCATAGACATGGCCGCGGCAGACCCTAAGGAACCGAATAGAGAGATTTGGGACGCCAATCCTCATGGTTCTGAAGGGATAGATAATAATGAGATCTCAATAAATTATATCATGTCTGGAATACAATGGAACCGCAAAGATGTCGACATCGATGAAATATTTGCATATAAGTTAGCACTTGAAATGAATGAGGATCATGAACCCACGTCTATATTAGAGTGCACTCAAAGATCAGATTGGCTAAAATGGAAAGAAGCCATAAACGTGGAGTTAAGTTCAGGGATAAAACCAGTAGGACACAAGTGGGTCTTTGTGAGAAAGAGAAATGAGAATAATAAAGCGTGAGATATAAGGCACGGCTTATAGCACAAGGATTCTCACAAAGACCGGGGATAGATTATGAAGAAACATACTCCCCTGTGGTGGATGCTAAGACATTTAAATTTTGCTAAGTCTGGTTATATAAAGAAAAAGACTTGATTTGCGGCTAATGGATGTAATGCCTGCATATTTATATAAGTCCACTGGATAATATATATGAGATTACCAGAGGGTATTGAGCTCAAAGATAAAGATAAGAAAGGGTCTCGAGACCAATACTGCATAAGGCTGAACAAATCGCTTTATGGACTGAAATAAAGTGGACGCATGTGGTACAATAGATTAAGCGAGTACCTAGTCAGAGAAGGTTATAAGAATGATCCCATCAGTCAATGTATCTTCATAAAGAAATTTGCAAACAAAGGGTTTGTGATAATAGCAGTATATGTGGATGATTTAAACATCCTCGAAACCTTTGGGGAAATCGCCCAAACAGTCGAATATCTAAAGAAAGAATTCGAGATGAAAGACCTAGGCAAGACAAAATTCTGTTTGGGATTGCAACTTGAGTACGTGAATAATGGAATCCTTGTGCATCAAAAGGCATATACTGAAAAGTACTCAAGAGATTCAATATGGACCAGGCCCACCCATTGAGCAGCCCAATGGTGGTGAGAAGCCTCGGATTGGATA